GGGAAACACAAATTAATAATCTTGAGGTTAATGATGAGCTTGGGGAAATTGATCACAAATCACTCAGTTTTAATATATCAAGGAATTCCCCTAATAATGGCAATCAAGTCTTTCCGTCCCTGACTTTCGCTTGGCTGATTTCATAGGACTGAAAAATTACTTAGGTGGGCTGAACTGAATGACCTGACTAAGGGTCAGGTAGGTGGTGATGGTTCCGATATGATGCTTTTCCCGGGCATAATTCTAGCTGCTCAGTCAAATTATGTTCCAAATAGGGAAATCAGATCAAACAAAAATTATCCTAAATGGATGAACAATAGATTAAAATATCTGATTGGTCAAAAGAGAGGCATATATAGGCAAATCAAAAGAGGAGAGGGGCAATTGAGAAATCGATATATTCAGTTTAAAAAGAGAAATAAAAAAGGGAATTAGAAAAGCAAAAAGAGATTAGAGGTTAAAGTTGCAAGAGAATCGAAGATAACCCAAAAGGTTCTTTCAGGGGATACAGAAGTAAGATCAGGGACAAGATAGGCCCACTCAAAAGTTCCTGGGTCAGCTCACTGACAGTGATAAGGAAATGTGTAGAATTTTTAACACATACTTCCTCTCAGTTTTTACACAGGAGGATACCCGCGATATTCCAGTAATGATAAATTATGTAGAACAGGACGATAATAAAACTGTGCACTATTAGGGTCACAAGTGACATGGTCCTTAGGCAAATAGATAAATTAAAACCTAACAAATCCCCAGGCCCTGATGAACTGTATGCAAGGGTTCTAAAGGAATGTAAAGAGGAGCTTAGCACACCTTTGGCTAATCTTTTCAACATATCACTACAAACTGGCATGGTGCCAGATAAGTGGAAAATGGCAAATGTGATACCTATTTCAAAACAGGTGACAGGTCCTTAGCTTCGAACTATAGACCAATAAGCCTAACCTCCATAGTGGGAAAATTTATGGAATCAATAATTGCCGAGGCAGTTCGTAGCCACCTTGAAAAGCATAAATTAATCAACGAATCTCAGCATGGTTTTACAAAGGGGCGTTCCTGCCTTTGCTCCAGACTCTCCTCCACCACGATGCTGTGAACACTAACTCCAAGGCCGAGGGACTGATTACCTCATCTTTTGTATATAGTTCTACTGTCTTCCTATTATGTCCTAGAATCTGTATTGATAAAGCCACTGGATGGCGAAACGTCTACTACAATAAAGATATCCAGATGTTGCACATGTGTCTTAACTTTCATATTGTCGGTATTTTATACCTTTCTTGCACAACTTGTCAGACACTGCAACATCATGGAATCTTGGTTCAGAGGACATCTACAAGACCTTCTTCACGGCTGCTGCAACTAACCCATCTCTTTGGGAAAGGACCTACTTCCACTGGGGAATCCCGCCTACCAGTGACTGCCCTCGTCTGCTGCCCGTCCCATTCACTGATGCCTATAAAAAGCGCCAGTCTTCTTGCCTTTGCTCCAGACTCTCCTCCACCACGATGCTGTGAACACTAACTCCAAGGCCGAGGGACTGATTACCTCATCTTTTGTATATAGTTCTACTGTCTTCCTATTATGTCCTGAATCTGTATTGATAAAGCCACTGGATGGCGAAACGTCTACTACAATAAAGATATCCAGATGTTGCACATGTGTCTTAACTTTCATATTGTCGGTATTTTATACCTTTCTTGCACATTAACTTTTTTCACTAAGGTATTTGAGGAGGTAGATCATGGTAATGAATATGATATTGTGTATATGGACTTCAGTAAGGCTTTTGACAGGGTCCCACATCAGAGACTATTGAGGAAAATTAAAGCACATGGAATAGGAGGAGAAATTTTTTCCTGGATAGAGGCATGGTTGACAAATAGGCAGCAGAGAGTTTGCATAAATGGGGAGAAATCAGAGTGGGGAAGCGTCACGAGCGGTGTTCCACAGGGGTCAGTGTTGGGCCCCCTGCTGTTCACAATCTACATAAACGACATAGATGAGGGCATAAAGAGCGACATCGGCAAGTTTGCCGATGACACCAAAATAGGCCGTCGAATTCATTCTGACGAGGACATTAGAGCACTCCAGGAAGATTTGAATAGACTGATGCAGTGGTCGGAGAAGTGGCAGATGCAGTTTAATATAGACAAATGCAAAGTTCTAAATGTTGGACAGGACAATAACCATGCCACATATAAACTAAATAATGTAGATCTTAATATTACGGATTGCGAAAAAGATTTAGGAGTTCTGGTTAGCAGTAATCTGAAACCAAGACAACAGTGCATAAGTGTTCGCAATAAAGCTAATAGAATCCTTGGCTTCATATCAAGAAGCATAAATAATAGGAGTCCTCAGGTTGTTCTTCAACTCTATACATCCTTGGTTAGGCCTCATTTAGATTATGCTGCACAGTTTTGGTCACCGTATTACAGAATGGATATAAATTCTCTGGAAAATGTACAAAGGAGGATGACAAAGTTGATCCCATGTATCAGAAACCTTCCCTATGAGGATAGACTAAGGGCCCTGAATCTGCACTCTCTAGAAAGACGTAGAATTAGGGGAGATATGATTGAGGTGTATAAATGGAAGACAGGAATAAATAAAGGGGATGTAAATAGTGTGCTGAAAAATATCTAGCCTAGACAGGACTCGCAGCAATGGTTTTAAGTTGGAAAAATTCAGATTCAGGAAGGATATAGGAAAGTACTGGTTTGGTAATAGAGTTGTGGATGAGTGGAACAAACTCCCAAGTACCGTTATAGAGGCCAGAACGTTGTGTAGCTTTAAAAATAGGTTGGATAAATACATGAGTAGATGTGGGTGGGTGTGAGTTAGACCTGATAGCTTGTGCTACCAGGTCGGTTGCCGTGTTCCTCCCTTAAGTCAATGTGACCTGACCTGACTAGGTTGGGTGCATTGGCTTAAGCCGGTAGGAGACTTGGACCTGCCTCGCATGGGCCAGTAGGCCTTCTGCAGTGTTCCTTCGTTCTTATGTTCTTATGTTCTTATGAGTGGATGTGGGTGGGTGTGAGCTGGACCTGATAGCTTGTGCTACCAGGTCGGTTGCCGTGTTCCTCCCTTAAGTCAATGTGACCTGACCTGGCTAGGTTGGGTGCATTGGCTTAAGCCGGTAGGAGACTTGGACCTGCCCCGCATGGGCCAGTAGGCCTTCTGCAGTGTTCCTTCGTTCTTATGTTCTTATTGAACATTAAAATGGTATGGACTGACGAAGCCACTGTGTGGCGAAACGTTTCCTCATTAAAAATACCCAAATGTTGCACATGTGTCTAATTTATCAACTTATTAGGTCATTTAACTTTAATTCAGTGATGTTTAAATGTTATATAAACATGTGTTAGACTCGATTCACTCAAAGAATGTTGGGTAAAAGTACTCAGGTGAAATGTGACATTTTGCTGGGGCAACGTTTCGCTCTCCAGGAGCTTTGTCAAGTCGAAACATTGTCACAATAAAATGTCACATTAGTTGCACTTGCGTCGGTAGTTCTACCAACATTATTGCACTCCAGGTATGATGGCAGATGATTTCTTGAAGAGACAGCCAGAGTGTAGATGCTGTCCGCTGCCCGTCTTGTGGTATAGGAGCTGTCTGTTTATTCTCGCTGTCCGTCTTGAGGTATAGAAGATAGTAAGGTCACCTCCCCCCAATGTTGAAGGCTCTGTTGCAATGACAGATACATCCAGGCCACTCTCTATTTCTCTGTCTCTCTCCTTTTCTCTCTCAAACAAGATTGGGGAATTCATTGGAGGATTTTTTAATGAAAGAAGTGCCAAACCCTTAGGGTCATATAGCGCCTGAGGCATGGGTTCGATCTTAGCAAGGGGAGGATAAGAACACTTCCTTGGATCAAAAGCCCCTTGGCATCGAGAAATCTCCCCTGAACGGCAGGTATAATGCTGATTTTATTGGGGGGGGGGGGGGGCTTAGTAACCCAGGATAACCCAAGAAGGCCAAGCAGTGTGTGGCTTATTTTCCATGGGGGTGGTTTCATCCTCTTTCCCAGGATGCCACCCACACCAGTCGCCTAACATCCAGGTACCTACTTACTACTAGGTGAACATGGACAACAGGTGTACCGAGACTAACACCCAGGTACCTGTTAACTGCTAGGTGAACAGGGGCAACAGGTGTACCGAGACTAACACCCAGGTACCTACATCCTGCTAGGTGAACAGTCAACAGGTGCGGGAAACATGTCCAGTTCCTTCCACTCGCCCCGGATTCGAACCCGAGCCCTCCAATTGCCAGCCGAATTACTTAACAGCGTCACTGTAGCAAAGTGACCTTTATCTAGTGAAGCCACAAGTGTGATAAGAGACAGGAAGACCGGCAGACATCATGGCAGACAATGATGTCTGCAACTGCACCTGCACCTGCCATGGCACAAGTGCCATAGTGCGTCACCCTGGGTTTAAGGTACGTTTTTATACGCCTGTATTGTCTCCCCTGAGGCGCATTTTGCGCTGTATTGCATAGCGTGTAGCCTGTAGACTACGCTCGTTGTTGTAGAGGTGTGGTTGACTTATCAGATATGCAGTAATATGGATAAAATAGCGTTTATTATGCAAGGGTAAGATAGCAACAGCTGTGACGTCACTCAGACTGACGTCATGTATTCTGTCATATACCACAATTTTGAGGAAAATAATACATGCTCATACATTTTGTATACACGTGTATAATTTACACAAATCACCGTTCTTCAAGGCAAATCATACAACTGACAAATTTACGAATTACGAGTGAAAATAAAAATATTTGTAAATGTAACGTTGGCAAACGTGTCGTACCCAGCCAAAGTCACTCACGTATCGACTTATTTTTCCTCATTTTAAGTTGTTGTAAATCATTTACTACCGCTAACGTGAGCTGTAAGCATCGGCGAGTGTCTAAACCGTGTGTATAAATCACCGTGGTCCCGGAGAGTGAGTTGAATCAATGGTTGAGGAGAATTTGAAGATTGTTGGCATCAGTGAGGTGGACGGGAGGGCGTGGGAGGCTAGACCTAACTCCATTTTCCACCTCCATTCATTAACTACTGGAGTCTGTGAGGAGCTGAGGGGCGGCGGCACATCGTCAACTCGGCGTTCACCTCCTCGGCAGGTACTTGGTTAAGGGGTGCAGCTCCTGGGCCCCCACATACACCATCGAGAAACAATATTTTTCCCCACACACACACGACATTGATCCTATCTGGCCGCTGCCGTTTTGCTGTACGATACTCTCTACCACTGACATCAGCACTTATCTTAATTCTTCTTCTTCTTCTTCTTCTTCTTCTTCTTCTTCTTCTTCTTCTTCTTCTTCTTCTTCTTCTTCTTCTTCTTCTATCTAGCTTTTTCTTCCCTTTCTTCCTTTTACTTTCTTCCTTTCTTTCTCCCTTCTTTATTCTGATATTCTTGTGTCAATTTCACATTACATGTATTCTCTGTTTACATTTGCACATTCTTCTCTTCTCGTCTTTTTCATCTCTCTCTCTCTCTCTCTCTCTCTCTCTCTCTCTCTCTCTCTCTCTCTCTCTCTCTCTCTCTCTCTCTCTCTCTCTCTCTCTCTCTCTCCACACTGCATTATTACTACAAATATAATTTGTACTCTACCAGGATACAGTGACGTTGTGTTTATGGTGGATGTTTACCTGGAGTTTACCTGGAGAGAGTTCCGGGGGTCAACGCCCCCGCGGCCCGGTCTGTGACCAGGCCTCCTGGTGGATCAGAATCTGATCAACCAGGCTGTTACTGCTGGCTGCACGCAAACCAACGTACGAGCCACAGCCCGGCTGGTCAGGTACCGACTTTAGGTACTTGTCCAGTGCCAGCTTGAAGACTGCCAGGGGTCTATTGGTAATCCCCCTTATGTATGCTGGGAGGCAGTTGAACAGTCTCGGGCTCCTGACACTTATTGTATGGTCTCTTAACGTGCTAGTGACACCCCTGCTTTTCATTGGGGGGATGTTGCATCGTTTGCCAAGTCTTTTGCTTTCGTAGTGAGTGATTTTCGTGTGCAAGTTCGGTACTAGTCCCTCTAGGATTTTCCAGGTGTATATAATCATGTATCTCTTAGGACAGATACCTAAAGTCAGTGCCGGATCAGCCGGGCTGTGGCTCGTACGTTGGACTGCGTGCGGCCAGCAGTAACAGCCTAGTTGATCAGGCCCTGATCCATCGGGAGGCCTGGTCATGGACCGGGCCGCGGGGGCGTTGATCCCCGGAATAACCCCCAGGTAGCCTGCGTTCCAGGGAATACAGGTTCAGGAACCTCAAGCGCTCCCAGTAATTGAGGTGTTTTATCTCCGTTATGCGCGCCGTGAAGGTTCTCTGTACATTTTCTAGGTCAGCAATTTCACCTGCCTTGAAAGGTGCTGTTAGTGTGCAGCAATATTCCAGCCTAGATAGAACAAGTGACCTGAAGAGTGTCATCATGGGCTTGGCCTCCCTAGTTTTGAAGGATCTCATTATCCATCCTGTCATTTTTCTAGCAGATGCGATTGATACAATGTTATGGTCCTTGAAGGTGAGATCCTCCGACATGATCACTCCCAGGTCTTTGATGTTGGTGTTTCGCTCTATTTTGTGGCCAGAATTTGTTTTGTACTCTGATGAAGATTTAATTTCCTCGTGTTTACCATATCTGAGTAATTGAAATTTCTCATCGTTGAACTTCATATTGTTTTCTGCAGCCCTCTGAAAGATTTGGTTGATGTCCGCCTGGAGCCTTGCAGTGTCTGCAATGGAAGACACTGTCATGCAGATTCGGGTGTCATCTGCAAAGGAAGACACAGTGCTGTGGCTGACATCCTTGTCTATGTCAGATATGAGGATGAGGAACAAGATGGGAGCGAGTACTGTGCCATGTGGAACAGAGCTTTTCACCGTAGCCGCCTCAGACTTTACTCTGTTGACTACTATTCTTTGTGTTCTGTTTGTGAGGAAATTATAGATCCATCTACCAACTTTTCCTGTTATTCCTTTAGCACGCATTTTGTGCTCTATTACGCCATGGTCACACTTGTCGAAGGCTTTTGCAAAGTCTGTATATATTACATCTGCATTCTTTTTGTCTTCTAGTGCATCTAGGACCTAGTCGTAGTGATCCAATAGTTCAGACAGACAGGAGCGACCTGTTCTAAACCCATGTTGCCCTGAGTTGTGTAACTGATGGGTTTCTAGGTGGGTGGCGATCTTGCTTCTTAGGACCCTTTCAAGATTTTTATATTGGGATGTTAGTGCTATCGGTCTGTAGTTCTTTGCTATTGATTTACTGCCCCCTTTGTGGAGTGGGGCTATGTCTGTTGTTTTTAGTAACTGTGGGACGACCCCCGTGTCCATGCTTCCCTCTCCTTAGGATGGAAAAGGCTCGTGATAAGGGCTTCTTGCAGTTCTTGATGAACACGGAGTTCCATGAGTCTGACCCTGGGGTAGAGTGCATGGGCATGTCATTTATCGCCTGTTCGAAGTCATTTGGCGTCAGGATAACATCAGATAGGCTTGTGTTAACCAAATTCTGTGGCTCATAACAAATTCATTTTGATCTTCGATTCTCAGTCTGGTTAGCGGCTTGCTAAAAACTGAGTCATACTGGGACTTGAGTAGCTCACTCATTTCCTTGCTGTCATCTGTGTAGGACCCATCTTGTTTAAGTAGGGCCCAATACTGGACGTTGTTCTCGATTTTGATTTGGCATAGGAAATAAATACTTTGGGTTTCTTTCGATTTCATTTATGGCTTTTAGTTCTTCCGCGATTCCTGACTCCTATAAGATTCCTTTAGCTTAAGTTTGATGTTTGCTATTTCTCTGACCAGTGTCTCCCTGCGCATTTCAGATATATTGGCCTCTTTTAGCCGCTCTGTTATTCTTTTCCGTCGCCTGTAAAGGGAGCGCCTGTCTCTTTCTATTTTACATCTACTCCTCCTTTTTCTTAGAGGAATAAGCCTTGTGCATACATCGAGTGCCACCGAGTTAATCTGTTCTAGGCATAAGTTGGGGTCTGTGTTGCTTAGTATATCTTCCCAGCTTATATCGGTTAGGACTTGGTTTACTTGGTCCCACTTTGTTTTTGTTATTGAAGTTGAATTTGGTGAATGCTCCCTCGTGACTAATCTCATTTTGTCGGTCTGGGGCTCCACGCATACATGTCTGAACCTCATTATGTTGTGATCTGAGTATATTGTTTTTGATATGGTGACATTTCGTATCAGATCATCATTGTTAGTGAAGATGAGGTCTAGTGTATTCTCCAGTCTAGTAGGCTCTATTATTTGCTGGTTTAAATTGAATTTTGTGCAGAGATTTAAAAGCTCGTGTGTGTGTGTGAGTTCTCGTCAGAGCTGCCTCCTGGTGTTATCACTGCAACAACATTATTTGCTATATTCCTCCATTTTAGGTGCCTTAAGTTGAAATCCCCCAGGAGCAAGATGTTGGGGGCAGGAGCTGGCAGATTTTCCAGACAGTGGTCAATTTTTAACAGCTGTTCCTGGAATTGCTGGGACGTTGCATTCGGAGGCTTGTAGACTACCACAATGACTAGGTTTTGGTTCTCGATCTTTACTGCTAAAACTTCCACTACATCATTTGAGGCATTAAGCAGTTCTGTGCAAACAAGTGACTCTGCAATGTACAGGCCAACATCCCCTTTTGCCTGTTCACTCTGTTGCATATGTATAGGTTGTAACCTGGGATCCATATTTCGTTGTCCAAGTGATCCTTTATGTGGGTCTCAGTGAAAGCCGCGAACATTGTATTTGCCTCTGCAAGCAGTCCACGGATGAAAAGTATTTTGTTGTTCGTTGCTGGCTTTAGACCCTGTATATTTGCAAAGAAGAATGTCATCGGACTGGTGGTATTGTTGGTACTGGGGGGGAAGGACTTTTTTCCGGCATTAGTATCTGTATCTGTTGGTTTGGAGTGGAGGCCATCGACTGTGGTTCCACTCCATGTGTTTATCTTTTAAATTTGCTGACATGTGTGAACGTCAGCGTTGTCTCAAGACGCTTGTAAGATGCCAGCCTGCTCTTATAAGGCGTTAGCATCGTTTTGTAAGTCGTCAGCCTGCTCTTGCAAGACGTCTGCTTGTTCTTGTAAGACGTCTGCTTGTTCTTGTAAGACGTCAGCCTACTCCTGTAAGACGTCAGTTTCTTGTTGTTTCTCTTACTGCAAGATTTTTTTTCGGGGGGGGGGGGGGTCACCGAACCTTGGTGGGCGACAGTCGGCGTTAAAAAATGTATATTTGTCTAATATATTATGACATGTGTCCGTGTTTTAGCACAAAGCCTCATGGCCATCCATAATCATTACTGGTTTCATTATTATTATTATTATTATTGTTGATTATTATTAATTCTGATTATTATTATTATTTATTATTATTAATAATTATTATGGTTTATTATTATTATTATTATTATTTATTATTATGGTTTATTATTTTTTATTATTATTGTTTATTATTATTATTATTATTATTATTATTATTATTATTATTATTATTATTATTATTATTATTATTATTATTATTATTATTATTATTATATGTAAGAGTAGGAAAACTCCCGAAACCTATTAAAGGTATATCATACGTGTCATAAAAAAATCAGCGTCTGAAGTTAGGTCAGTATATGGTATATGTTTACTGAGATGTGTTTTGGTGTGATGCTCTCTCTCAGATCCTTGTGTTTTACTTATATTTGCTGCTCTTGCTTTGTAAGCTATACATTTCCCCGTCTTATCTCTCCAATCTGCATTATCTTGCATCTCTTTGGATTGAACTCTAGCAGCCGCTTGTTGGTCTGTGTATGGAGATTGTTCAGGGCGTCTCCATGCCTATGTCTGTCATCTCCTAATCTTATCCTTCATTAATTTTAAATCGTTGGCAAACAGACAGATGCACAATATTCTAGTCTTCCTGGTATAGGCTTAAAAAGCTCATAGTGAATGAAACTTAGCCACAGTGAGTCATGATGTAGGCTTTGAGGGGGTTTCAACTAGAATACGCCACGGCCACGCTGGTATGGAATTCATCTGTAGAAACCTGCAATTGTGGTAACTGCAATTTTCTACAGATGAATCCCATATGGTGTATAGATATGGTGTATAGATATATTCATAGT